CCCGCCAGCTGACTCGGCACACAGCTCATCCCTCGAGGAAAATGGGCACTTCCGGTCTGAGAGGACCCGCATTTGAAATTAAATCATTGGCGGGTATGAGCGCGAAGATCGCGAACCAGTCCCGCCCTAGTTCCTCCGACTATTAAACCTCAAAGACAAAACTGGACCCACCGACTCCCAGAAGCCGACCCCTCCGCCCGGAAGTCGAGGCCAGAAGTACCCACGGGGCAACGTCACTTCCGCCGCGCTTCCTGGAGGCGCCAAGATGGACGCCGCGCGGGCCCGGGAGCAGCTCCGGCGGCGGTACCTGTTCTCGCCCGACGCCGAGGCCTCGCTGGCCGGCAGAGGCTGCGCCGGGCCGGGTAGGCGCTCCCCCGGGCGCTCCGAGCCGCGCCGAGGCCCCGGGCCAGGCGCCCGGACACCGCCGGCCTTGCGGCCTCCCGCAGCCCGCCCCGTCGGGAGGGCCCGGCTTCTGATCTCAGGGTTCACCTGTCGTTTGCACGTCGGGTGGTTAGTGCCCTAAGGACCCTTAACACCCCGCAGCCCTGCGCGTCTGCACCCAGGCTGCGCTCCAGGAGTCCCCGAAGGCTGGTCTGACCCCGGCTTGGTAGCCCCCATTCGGAACGCCCCCCGGCTCTGTTTTTAGGGATCGGCCAGGCGTACCCCGTAGGCCCGCGGGGAATGGGTGCGGGGGTTTGTCTCATCTCGGCGTCGCTGGCCACAGCACCCGGTGGTCCGCCGCGGGAGCCGGTCAGACACCAGGCCGACTGCGGGCCGTGCGGGTGGTGTTCGCCGGGAGGCGCAGGGCAGCGGGTGGGGTACGAGCTCCGTCTCCGGCACCGGCGAGCGGGAGGCCGTGCGGGCGCATTTCCTGGCGACGCGGGAGGAGGGAAGCCGCCGGGAGGTGACACTGACGGCTGCTTCTGGGAGAGATGGCTTGCACGTTCGGGCTTTTGGCCTGCATTACGCAAACCGCTTGCATGTGTTACGTTTTAAAGAGAAACACAGAAGACATCGTGCCCAGGCGTGCGTGCTGGCGTCTCAGTTTTGAGGGTCTTTGTATTGGGAACAAGCTGCTCAGGAATCCTAAGGGGTGAGGACCTCGGGTGTGCACCCCGGTGGCTCTCCCGTGAACGGAGAGGAGGCGGAGAGGGGGGACTTGTTGGAAATAACTCGTCGGATCCAACCCCAGCCGCCTGTTCTGTGAGATGGAGTCCCGGCTGGAAGACATGTGGACTCGTCCCCACCTGTCTACAGTACTGCGCCCGTTCCACTTTTTAAAAAAATATATATATATTATTGATTTTTACAGAGAGGAAGGGAGAGGGATAGAGAGTTAGAAACATCGATCAGCATACCTCCTACTGGGGATGTGCCCGCAACCAAGGTACATGCCCTTGACCGGAATCGAACCAGGGACCCTTCAGTCTGCAGGCCGAGGCTATCCACTGAGCCAAGCCCGTTACGGTCCGTTCCACTTTTGAGCCGCCTTAAAAGGTTGTGTTCACTTAAAATCATTAAATAGTGATAAGTAGTATTTTTGGAAAATGGCAGCTGTTTTGTGCTCTAACATGTGCCTGCGGCATTTTCCTTAATAGGACTAATGACTTTCTTAGATGAAATATGAGGCATAATATTAAAATTCCTACACTGCTAGAAGTGGTCATTCTTTCTGAAAGATGGAATATGTAGATTTGATTTCAGAATCCATTTAAAGGAGAAAAGTTGACTCTCTTGCTCATGTTTTATAGTGGGCTCCTAGTAATTATTTCTGCAATATAAGCCCATTTTGGTGGTTTTTACAGAAGAAATTCGTGCTATGGTGGGAAAGATTTCTGGTTCGCAAAAAGCTCTAGGATATTGTTTTGTTTGGCTTAAGAGAGGTTGATTTTTCCCCGTGCACTTTATGGTAATTTAATAAGTTGAAATCTCCCTTATTTGCAGGAGCCTCTGCACCTGTTGAGAAAAAGCAAAAACCTCTTCCAAGACTTAATGTCCATTCTGGATTCTGGATATTGGCATCCATTGTTGTGACCTATTATGTGGATTTCTTTAAAACTATTAGAGAAAACTTTCACACTAGTAGGTAAGAAAACTTCCCTGAATATCACATGATCGCACTCATTTGTGGAATATAATGAACAACATAAACTGATGAACAAAAACAGATCCAGAGACAGAGAAGCATCGATCAGACTATCAAACCTCAGAGGGAAGGTAGGGGAGGGTGGCGGTAAATGGAAGAGATCAACCAAAGGACTTGTATGCATGCATATAGGCCTAACCAATGGACACAGACACCAGGGGGGTGAGGGCATGAATGAGGGGGAGGGCAAGGGGGGAATAAGGACACATATGTAATACCTTAATAAAGGAAAAGAAAGAGTAATAAAAAAAAAAAAGAAAACTTTCCTGGTTCATAAGTTAAACACCCTTGTCTTATTTTTTGTGTTTTATTTTGTTAGTTGAAATTTTTGTTGTTAATCCTCACCCGAGGACATTTTTTCCATTGATTTATTTTAGAGGGAGTGGATGGAGTGGGAGAGAGAAAGAGAGAAACATTGATGTGAGAGATACATTGATCGGTTGCCTCCCACACACACCCCCAACCAGGACCAGGGATCGAACCTATAACCCAGTGTGAATTAACCATCTTGCACATTGATTTTCAGCATTTCAAGAAACCTGACACACTCACAACTTCAGAAACAAAAGGAAAGCTGCTCTCTCTCCTATGTTCTTGAGGAAAATGCATAGCCATAACCAGGGTTCTGTTTCGGGTGGGCTGTTTATGAGCGCACACATGCATGCCTGTATTGAGAGGCTTACTTTTTCATCCTCTCGTGGGTCTCAGGCTCGTCCTTTCTCACTCATCTCCCCGTAGATTGGACTTTCTGAAATCTGGAATCCAGTGATTGTGGGTCCCTCTGTGTTCCTCTTCCAGTTGATATTCTTGTAGAAACAGATGTTTAGGCAACCGGTGAAAACTTGTAAGATTTCTGCTGATGTGCTAAGAGCTGTCAATCTGATGACATTTTTGTCTTACAGTTGGTTTCTCTCTGGCGGCGCCTTGTTGCTTGTCAGCGTGTCCATTGCATTCTACTGCATTCTCTATCTGGAGTGGTATCGTGGGATTGAAGATTATGATGTCAAGTATCCAGCCCTGATCCCCATCACAACTGCTGCTTTTATCGTGGCAGGGATTTGGTAAGTTAACTTTGAAATACTGATAGAAATGAAATGTTGGTCAGGTACTGATGTGCATGGCACGAATGTCAAAGGAAAAAAAAGGAATATTGGGGAAAATAGTCTCCCTGTCATTTCTAGTCTCCAGTTTCCTTTTCAGTAATATCGTCCTTTACGTATGTATTTCACTATTTAAAACACAGATGGTGACGTACTATCTGTATTCTGCAATTTGCTTTTTAAGTCATTTTCTATGAAGTATAATACATACAGAAAGTGGAAAAAACAGAACTGTACAGCTGAATGAGTCATCATGAAATGAGCATTGGTGTGAACCGCTCCAGGTCTGGGGAGAATCGAGCCAATACCTCGAAATCCCTTCCCACTTCCCCGTAGTCACTGCCCCAAGTAAACACTGTCCTGACCTGTATGCTGATTGCTCTCGTGCACCTTGTAAGTACTCTGTCTGTCTTTTTTTTTTTTTTTTAACTTTATAGAAATGGACTCGTAGCATCTATTCTTTGATGTTTGCTGTTTACACGTATGATTCATCCGCATTGTTGTGGGTAGCAGTTGTTCATTGCTGTCGGGCAGTCCAGCCTGTAGCTGAATCCGTTTCTTTTTCTACTATTGATAGCATTTGGATTGTTTCCAGTTTGGTGGTGTTATTATTGAGGCTATCAAGAACATTCTAGTGTATGTCTCTTGAGAATATGTGCACATTTCTGTTGGATGTATATGTGAGAGAGACACATTAATCGGTTGCCTCCCACATACACCCCGACCGGGACTGGGGATTGAACCCACAGCCCAGTGTGAACTAACCATCTTCCACATTGATTTTCAGCATTCCAAGAAACCCGACTTAATGTGGAGGAGTTATCTCTACAAGTGAAATTGTTGGCTCATAGGGTGTGCATGCCTCCAATTTCAGTAAATAATGCCACACTTTTACAACGAGATTGTTCTTTTTTTGTTTAATTTCTTTTTATTTTTTTAAAAATATATTTTTATTGATTTCAGAGAGGATGGGAGAGGGAGAGAGAGAAACATCAGTGATGAGAGAGAATCATTGATCAGCTGCCTCCTGCACACCCCCTACTGGGGATTGAGCCCGCAACCCAGGCATATGCCCTTGACTGGAATCGAACCCGCGACCCTTCAGTCCATAGGCCGATGCTCTATCCACTGAGCCAAGCCAGCTAGAGCTCTTTTTTTTTTTAAATGAACCGTATAGTATGGAATTCTTCTATATGTAGATGTACCTCACTATTTCTAATAGTTACGTAGTTATCACTACATGGACATTAATGATGTATTTAACCAACTCCCTGTGGTTAGTTGTTTTTATTCTTTTGCTCTTATAAAAATACCTCAGTCAGTGTCTTTCTTCATAAGTTAATAGGCACTCAGTGAAAAAAAGTGATTTTATTAATGTTTACAAAAGTACACTTGCTCACTGAAGAAATATCTGTTAAATACAGTAAATACAAAAGAAATAAATCCCATGATTCTGCCTATCAGGGAGAAAAATTACTCTCTATGTACAGTGAGTCCTCACTTAATATCGTCGTTAGGGTCTGTGACGTTAAGAGAAACAACATAAAGAAACCGGCTTTACCACAGGCCAATGGATATAAGCAAGAGGGCCGTCTACATGGCTCAGTGTCACGATGAAATGCTGTTTCGTGGATGTAGCTCTTTAGTTTGTTCCTTTCTTGATGTTAAATCAATTATGATTTGGGAAAACCACCTGCTTTTGTACACACTCAGTTTAAATCTTTTTTTAAATGATTTATTTTCTGTAGTTGAAGGTCAAGGGTATTTAACATATTACGTTATGATGTGGCTCTTATTAGCCCTTCAGTAATGTAGGTAGACAGCTGTGTTACATTTTCTTACAAGGCTACTGTCACCCCCAGAAATGTTATTTAATTTTTCAGGACAGTATAATTATAGCTCTTTTAAAGTTCTACTTACTAAAATGTTACATTTTAAAGTCAATAACTGTCTGAAGCATTTACTTGACTATAGTTCTTCCCATTTACCTTCTGCTCTTATGAATTCAGTTCACAAAAGTCATTTGCACTTAAAGTGTTTTACTCTTACCTTAGTGATAGGAATAGTGTTTTTCTCAGTGGAAAATTTAATAGCAAGTTATAAATGGTTGCTTTTTTCATTCTGTTTCTAACAGAAAAGTGCTTTTAACCATCTTTTTACCATAATGGTTTGATAGTGTGGGAGGCTGAGAGCAGACTACGGCCATTCTTGTTCATGTCCCATTGCAGACCCCAACTTTAATCACTTAAGTTCCCTTAAGCCAAGCCGGCCTGCATGAGAAGACCTGTGACTCTAGTCCAAGTACTTGTTGAAGAGATTGTGATAGTTCCAGTATTTGTTAGATCACATCTTTGAGAGAAAAAAAAAATACACATAATGTTGTTGGCTGAATGAACTTGCCCAAACTGAGTAATACCAGTTCTCTACCTGCAGACTCTACAGCAGAATATGCGTGTGTAGATGGTAGCTGGTTGTCAGCCTGTGGTCTTTTCCTTTCAGCTTCAACATCGCGTTATGGCCCGTGTGGTCGTTTTTCACTCCGCTGCTGCTGTTTACCCAGTTCATGGGCCTTGTGATGTTCATCTCACTCCTCGGGTGATTCCTGCAGGTAAGCTCTCTGGAATGGCCGTGCTCTTACTGACCTCATTTGGAAAACATCTTTCACGACAGTTTGAGGTGACTCCCTGTGATTTGGTGCATTTGTGTTCACACCGGAGCTGTTTCCCGCTGAGCTCAGATGGAAGGAGGGAGAGCCTGCCCTTGTGTATAATGTAGTTCTGACTCGAGAGGGCCCCCCATCCTCCAAAGGGCTCAGGGAGACAGTACTTGCACCTTCCAGTAAAAACACGCTCACACCTGGGACCAGTCTTCATTGAAGTCAACTTACATACAAGTGACTATGGATTAGATCCGTGGTCGGCAAACTGCGGCTCTCGAGCCACATGCGGCTCTTTGGCCCCTTGAGTGTGGCTCTTCCTAAGCCTTAGGAGTACCCTAATTAAGTTAATAACAATGTACCTACCTATATAGTTTAAGTTTAAAAAATTTAAGAAATTTCAATCGTTGTACTGTTGATATTTAGCTCTGTTGACTAATGAGTTTGCCGACCACTGGGTTAGATTGTTCTTAAGGAATGGGAATTTGGGGGAAATGAACAATTTTACCCAATTGGGGGGAAAAACTGCCATTTTCTGACTGTTCTGGCTGCCTCATAAAAATCTGATGGATGGCACACCAACTTTTCCCTTCGTGTTATGTATGGGATTTCTGCCTCCCCATAGACCCCTGCCCCTCCGTGGACCTGTGGCTCCACACGGTGGGGTCTGCTTGCTGAGTGTCAGACAGCACATTTATTAAACACGTGTGTGTTCAAAGGACTCACTCAGTGCTAGGGACATGGTGAAAAAGACAGGTGGTCTCTACCTTCCCTTCGCTTGTATCAGAACTGGGAGGAAGTTGACTTCACACATGAGTTTACAGGATGAAAATTAGGCTCAGAGAGGTCAAAGTTATCGGGGTGCTAATGAAAATGGACATGTCCGCGAATAGCAGCATATTCTCCCTCTGGAGTTTTAGAGGAAAGTCAGTGTAACTAGGACAGGAAGGTACATAGCCTGATGTTGCCAGCACATCCATGACCACAGCCACGCTGATGTGCAGAGTCAGTCCCCCCACACACTGTGCCAGCACGTCCATGACCATGGCCACGCTGATGAGCAGAGTCCTACACACACTGTGCCAGCACATCCATGACCACAGCCACGCTGATGAGCAGAGTCCCACACACACTGTGCCAGCACATCCATGACCACAGCCATGCTGATGAGCAGAGTCAGTCCCCCCACACACTGTGCCAGCACATCCATGACCACGGCCACGCTGATGAGCAGAATCTGACCACAGCACACTGATGTGCAGAGTCCCACACACACTGTGCCAGCACATCCATGACCTCGGCCACGCTGATGAGCAGAATCTGACCACAGCACACTGATGTGCAGAGTCCCCTCCACATTGCTGTGGGGGCCCCCGGGACTCTTAGAGTGCGCCCTTTATCCTGTTGACAAGTGTCACCTCGTCTGACCATGTCCCCTGCTTCTCCCTTTGAAATGGTGTTAAATCTTTGTCCGGTTTTGAGTTTTTGCACATGTTAGGAAGCTTTTAACTCCCTTCTGACATGAGTATCAATGGTCATGAAGAGCCTTGTAGATTGAACTGCTTCCTCACACTACAGCCACAGCGTAGTACCCGTTGTCTCATGTGGGACATAAATGCTGGCTTTCTTTCAGGTTCAAGGGCATGCAAACTGAACCATTAAACATCCAGCTGGCTGGCAGCGTTCCAAAGGGGGAAAAGCTACAGTGTTTCTGCATCCTGAAGTGAGTGGTGTTCTAGCAAAAATTGTACCTTCACTGATCTGTGGTTGAAATGAGAATAAATTATATTTATTTGCATATTCTTAAACTCAGATGATTTTTCAGATTCAGAATAGGAGTATTCTCTTCAAAATAGAAATAACTAAGTTGCAGTGTGAATCTGTTTGAATCATGGAGAAAGTATTGGTGTGAAAGTTTAAATGAAGTTTCATTGTAGATGTGCGTTGCTCCCAGTGTTGTAGGTGGATTGCTCACTCTTCACTTATGCGGTGACGGACGTGTCCATGTGCCTTTAACCCGGTAGCGGTGACTGTGGACCTCACTGTGTAATGCCTTCGCTAGTGAGAGGACCAACCAAACGTATTCTATGCATTCCTCTTTGGATTTTACCATTATATGTAAATCATTGGGTTTTCAGCATGTTTAACATATGAACTTTTAATGATTTCTAAGTATGTATAATTATTTTCCTTATTTGAATAAAATATTTTTATAACTTTCTTGTGATTTTGTTAATACAAACGTGGGAATAGTTTGTTTTCAGCTATCAGCGCTGAAAAGTTCCCTGTAGAAATGAGGTTTGTTTTTAGAGAGGCTGCTGTGCTGTTCAGAGACCTGAAGACTAGTCACTTTCACACGCAAGTACATTCCCCTTACACCTGCGCATCGCGAGCATTGTGACGTGGAAAGTACCTGATGTGGATCCTTCTTCCCATAAAGGGACTTCCAGAGACGATCTGATTTGTCTCCACTGTGTGTGGCTCGGGCCACGCCGTCCTGCCGCTGCCTGACCCTGAGTGGTAGTCTTTCTCCAGCTGCGAAGTGGGAACATCTGTCGAGTATGGTTGTGGGTAGTAGGAATGATGTTGATAAACCACCATTACAGCACCTGGCACACAGTAGGAGCTCACTCAGCGAATAGTGATGGAGAGGGAAAGAAAGACAAAGCGATCTGGGATGGGGAATGGGAGAAGGCATTGTGATCCGTTTGTGATACAGGCGTGTGAGGGTGTGAGAGTCATTTAAAGTAAAGAGCGAGGTCAGGCAGGAGTCGGCGATGCCAGCGTCCAGTGCAGTGCAGCCCTGGCAGTTAGGATGACCAAGGGCATTGGTTTATCCACTGGAGGGAACCTTGGTGCGGCCAAAGTTCAGTGCCCCAGTGACAGCTGCCACAAATCCTCTGTCTGCCTGCCTGTCTGGATAGAGTCTGCAAAGGAATCATCCATCCCTCCACCTATCTACCTACCTGTATCCGTCTATCCACCTACCTACCTATCTTTTCTTACAGAGTAGTTTTACTACTTGGATTGAAATCTAAGGCTGGGATTTTTTTAATTGATTTCAGAGAGGAAGGGAGAGGGAGAGAGAGAGAGAAACATCAATGATGAGAGAATCACTGATCGGCTGCCTCCTGCACGCCCCACACTGGGGATCGAGCCTGCAACCTGGGGCATGTGCCTTGACCAGGAATCGAACCATGGCTCCGGGTTCATAGGT